TTCGTTCTCCGCATGACTCTCCTGTTCTGCGCTGCTGTTGGTCGCCTTGTGTGTCGGACATCATCCTTTGAGCGAGTTGCTCCTCCCTGACGCTCAGAGCTTAAGGGGCTTGGCTTCAGTCTTGCGAATTGCTCTGACAATTCGACCTTTCCTCGAAAGGCACTGGAGCTGTTCCCCACCCAGGGACTTTACATAATTCTAGAGGATGGTCTATACGGTTTACCCAAATATATTAGCTTTGTGGGTTGTGGAGTTCTTCTGGTAACCCTGGGCTCTTTACGTGTTTTGCTCCCGCGCACGCAATGCTGCGGGATTTAGGCATCGCTCAGTCGTCCTCGTCGGAGCTGCCATAGCAATCGAACGACCTGGTTAGCATGAGAGCGGGCTCATACAGAAAGATGCATGAAAGCTGGGCCCGGGACAATGATGATTCCTCTCCGTCGTCCCTTGTGGTCCGCGGCATCGCTACGGCTTGCAGATGTCGATGTCTCCTGATAGGACGTCTTCTCTTAAATTATGCTCATGGCTTCGGACGTCTTGACTCGGAGGGCCGACCTGCAAAGCTCGTAGCAGCGGACCTTTTTGCTGCTGGACTTGTCCAGCAGCCTGATGCGACTTGCTGCATCCAGACCTGCTCAGACGGTCGCCCCCTCGGAGAACCAAAAAACGACGCGGGCTCGCCAAGGCTCCCACCGAGTAGCTGTGGCACCCTGGTAGCGAGGTCACTGATGTACGCGTTGTACGCGACCTGTGCAGGACTGTGCAATGCTCGCTCTTTTTTTGAGGCCGCCGCTCACGTGGTCGCCTTGACCCGCACCGAATTGCCCGAGAGTGACTCGATCGTCACTTCGGTCCTGATGGCATCCAGGATCGCATGCTGGTCTAGTAGCAGCCGGGTTTTTTTGCCGAGGCTGCTGCATCGCCATGCGATGCCGCGGCTTTTGCAAAACCCGAACCCTGGCCATTGTTGTTGTGGCCTTGCTTTGCTGCGATGCTATATGTCCTAGTTAGGCCCCTTCCTGTGCATGGTGTTGCTTCTTAGTCTTCCGGATCCTGCTTGTGTCTTGATGCGTAGCTGGTGCTTCATGCGTAGCTGTTGCTTGAAGCTTGGATATGGCTACAGTGGAAGACGTACATGGTTTTTGCTGTTCGGAAGACACTACTCTCACCAGTCTAGAACTAGTCATATCCCTACCACGGAGGTGCTCATTGACCCATCCGTCCTCCGTGGAGTTGGTGAGTTGACTTCGGGATGTCGACTAACGGTTGCTAGAAAGGGCATGGGTAAAGCAGCGTCTTCCGATTTGAGGCCGTCTTTTACACATCGTCTTTCTGATCACCGGACGTTATTCCCGCACAGCGCGGCATCAATCTGCT